GCATGCCCTGGTCACTCCATTCCAGCCAGCCAGTAATGGACAGGTGGAGAGAATGGTGGGATCTGCTAAAGAAGCCCTATCCAGGCTGTCCCCGGTGGAAAAACCGAAGATGGAGCAGATCCAGGCTGATGACGTTGCCGCAGCTGCCAGGTCCGGACGGAGGTAGCCAGAGCGGAGCCGAGGTGAAAGAGCAACATGACTGGAGGAGGAATTCTGGGAGTTTAAGTCCACAAGTCTTAAAGCTGTCAAGTTACAAGGCCCTCGCACCCCTAACCCTTTAGAAAAAGAAACCCCAGGGGTGTTTCAAACTTGACAGCTTTAAGGCTTGTGGACTTCAACTCCCAGAATTCCTCCTCCAGTCATGTTGCTCTTTCGCCTCGGCACCCCTCTGGCTACCTCCGTCCGGACCTGGCAGCTGCGGCAACGTCATCAGCCTGGATCTGCTCCATCTTCGGTTTTTCCACCGGGGACAGGACCGCCGCTGAAGATGCCGACGAGCCCCCACCGCCACCAGAATAACTGCTGCCGTCTCCTCCTCCTCCAACAGCACCACCGCATTTGTCGCCCAGCGCTGCAGCTGAGGTGAAGCCGCCAAAGCTCCCGCTGGCGCCCCCGCCTGTGGCAGCGGCGCCTCCCCCTCCACTCAGAGCACCTGAGCCGGGCACCACGTTACCCCTGCTGCCGCCTCCTCCTCCACCGTGCTTTTGAAAAGCCATGAGGCCTTTTTTTCCTGCTCCCACCCCCTCTGCCGCCTTCCTACTGGCTCCCTCGATGGCGCCGCCATCGGGTTTCTCCTCACCACCTCACCTTTGACAGTGCTCCAGCGCCCTTTTCCCCTCCCTCGGTCGGTCCGCACCTGCCATCCAGCTCTCGCCCCGCAGGGGGGGAAAAGGCACCATGGCTCCTCAAAAGCACGGCCGAGGAGGAGGGGGCGGGGTAATACGGGGCCCAACTCAGGTGCTCTGAGTGGAGGGGGAGGCGCTGCTGCCACGGGCGGGGCCGCTGGTGGGAGCTTTGGTGGCTTCACCTCAGCTGCAGCGCTGGGCGGCAAATCCGGCAGTGCTGTTGGAGGAGGAGGAGCCGGCAGCAATTATTCTGGTGGCGGTGGGGGCTTTGGGGCTTCATTTCAGCCACAGCGCTGGGCACAAGCGGCTAGGATTGGCCCACCCACAAAGGATCTCCCCGGGCTTGCTTTGCTGAACACGGGGCGACTGTCGGTAGTTTGAGCGGCGCAGCCGGTGCCTAGGAGGTCCTAGGAGACCGGCCATGCCACGTAAGCTCCTGCCGCTGTGTCATGTCCCGTCCCCCCCGTGCGCCCATGCTAACCCTAACCAGGACAGAAAATCTGAGGCCCCTCAGCTTCCGGAGCCTGTGACATTAGAAATCACTGTGCGGCAATTGGAAACTGCCGCGCGGTGTTTTCTTGCCACATGCGCGACCGCGCAGCCGCGCACCTTAGAGGGAACATTGCCCTGGAGGTCTTTTAGTGCAGCCCCTTGCTCGAGCAGGAGACCCTGGACCGTTCTGGACAACGAGCTCTCCAGCCTCTTCTTAAAGACCTCCAGTGTTGGAGCACCCACAACCTCTGGAGGCAAGCAAAGGGAGCCACCTTCTCTTTCCTGTCATTGGATGTTTGGGGGGTGGGGGTGGGAGAGGCCCTTGGAAGACAAGTAATTGTGGCCAGTGAGGCAAGGGGACGCGGGTCCCCTGCTTGGGGGGGGGGAGTCTCTATGCCACGGGAAAATGCACCACAGGACGAGAGTTAAACTAACATCAAAGAAATGGTGGCGCAGTGGTTACAATACAGCATTACAGACTGATTCTGCTGAGTGGTTCGATCCTGACCAGCTCAAGGTTGACTCAGCCTTCTGTCCTTCCTTCCGAGGTCAGTAAAATGAGGACCCAGATTTTGGGGGACAAGAGGCTGACTCTGTAAACCGCTTAGAGAGGGCTGTAAAGCAGTATGAAGCGGTATATCAGTCTAAGTGTGAAGAGAGGGAGGGAAGAAAAGGGGAGGGAGGCAGGCAGGAAGAAGGGAGGCGGGGAGGGGAAGGAAGGAAGGAAGGAAGGAAGG